AAGAAAAATTTAGACGATTATTATTCAACAGAACAGAATCCAAGCAAAGAAAAAACAGATGTAATAAAAAAAACTGGTTTCAGGAAAATTGTCAATTGAGTGATAGACACAAAAAAAATAGAAGCAATTGGATTCATATGGTTTACTCAGTGACAAACCAACATTTTTATTAGGCTTTTAAAATAAATAACAAAAAAATAAACTTAAAACTTGATAACTGTTGTAACCGTTTATTTACTCTCACCCACCTGCCAACTGATTGTTCCCTTCTACCAATTTATTATCTCAGTTTTACAGATTGTACAATAAATTATACCACAAACAGATGTTTACAAAAAAAAAAACTGTCTGAGAAAGTTACAGTATTGTTTAACTAATATAAAGCAGAAAAAAAAAAGCAATTTTAATTAAAAACAAAATATATATTTTTTGATTTAATATTTGTTTAAGCATAAAGCAAACCAAACATGCAGTTGTAGAAAAAGTCACTTGTCTCGTTGCAACAGCTGTATGATCATATCCACAATGTACAGCACTGCTGATAAAAATAAGAATGCCTAAACAGATTATTATTAGAAATCAGTAGGTTTTTTGTTTTTTAAATAATTTAATTTCTTACCTAAATTAGAAACCAAATTTTTTTGTCTTTGTACATGTTTATAGCCTTTTCTTTAGGAAGGTAACAAAACAACAAAGTGAATAGTTGAAAAAAAGAAATACAATATAGCGGTAAATGAGCACAAACTTACAGCAGATACTGCCCAACCCTTAACTACAAAAACAATATCGCAAGTTGGAATTCCCAGACAACCGCTAAATTGGCCACCACCAATTTGTCGAATAAGTGGTCCCATATGGCCAAAACCTGTCGCATACCAAGTTTCTACACCGCCAAGTACCAAGAATACAATTACCGATATCATTGAAACACATATTTGCTGAAAAAGAAAAAAGTAAGAAAGTTTTTTCAAAAAAAAGTTTCAAATGTCTAATGCTATTGAAAAAAAAAAAGAAACAAATTTTTTCAGAATAGACATATAGAAAATTTTTTTTTGAAAAACTAACTGCATAAGAAATGGAACTGCCGGTAACCATCTGCATACAACTTAGACCAAGCGGTGGTAATGCAAAAAGTAGTGCAATTATTACAATTGCCAACTGTCCCCATACGCTAAACAAAAAGATACTTTTTCTTAAACAATAAATTTGTTCAATTGATAAAGTTTTGCTATAATTTTATAGCTAAATAACAAAAAAGTTTGTATCTAAAAAATAAAGAGCATCAAACAAGTACTTAGTGTTGTTTGCAGCACTGAATAATCGTTAGGTATATTACGGCAAATACTGTAAGTCTAATCTATTTTAATAAAGCTGTTGAGCGATATTTACAAATTTTGCCATTAATTTATTGTTCTTTCAAAATAATTTGGCAATTAGAATAAATAAAACAGACTTTTGTCCTCTATGTTGAAAATGTACGCCATTTCTCCATCGATCAACATTCATTGGGAAGAAGTTGTCGTTGGGGCATATTTCGTTGCTGGCTTGAATATCGTTGATATAACGAGTAAAGCATACTCCAGGTGCCGTAAATATCAGTATTACCGATATCAGTACCAATAGCTTAATTTGTTTTTCAGTCATTAAATATGAGTGAGAAAGAAAAAAAAAATAAAAGATTTTATTTGAATAATTATTTGCCGCAAAATTTCTTCTCTGCCAATTATTGTTGACAGTGAACCCATAAACATTAAATAGTTGCATTGCATAATTATTGTAATTAATTCTTTTTCTTTTTTGGCATAAAAACCAACTTTTTAGCATAAGCAAAAAAAAAAGGTCTATTTTTTATTGAGTAAATTATAATGACCAGAAAAAAAAAATTACTTTTAAATTTTTCTTCTGCAAAATCTATTACGTCGTTGTAGCAAAAATAAAACTCATATAAATTGTTTGATTGGTCTAATGACACAACAAAAATTTGTCGAGTAAGATTACCTTAGGTAAGTTTAAAAAGTACGATTTAAAAGATGGATTTGTATAAGTATTTTTTAAAATATTAAAAAGCAAAGTAGATTACAGTAAAGAATATCAAAAAAAAAA